TCATACCTTGCTGCATATGTTTCAGACTGTCTCCTACCTTGGCATACCTTGTCTATTGTTGTGGGGCATACCCTGTCTATTGTTGTGGGGCATACCTTGTCTATTGTTGTGGGGGCATACCTCGTCTATTGTTGTGGGGGCATACCTCGTCTATTGTTGGCATCGGGGCAGGTGTGGACAGCTGGCTGTTAGACCTGAGCAGATGGGACATAAACTAAAATTGGCCAAATGCCAGTCTTTTGAGATATTGCTCAATCTATAACCAAATTGTATATAAATAGCACAACTTCATGTAGTACCCCATTTTATTCTACTTTTCGTAATAGGACAAAAAAAAATAGACGTTTAAGCGATCTTAAGACCACAAGTTGCAGGAAAAATAAAGGGAAACAAAAGGAAGAATTTGTCACTGTGATGGCCATGTCAGCCATATATTTCATGATAGCCATTTTCCATCAATTAATCCAAAAAAATAAACAAATGACATCTACACCTGTATTGTGAAAATAATCAAAAGTGTGATGCAGCCAAGTATGAATGCACTGTTGAGTGCATGTGGTATGTGATAAAACTCTGGAAACTTCACATAACCTACATCATGAACTAAGTTAATCCAGTTAAAGTCTGGCCAAAGTTTTCTGGAAAAAAAAAGTGTGATGCAGCCAAGTATGAATGCACTGTTGAGTGCATGTGGTATGTGATAAAACTCTGGAAACTTCATATAACCTACATCATCATGAACTAAGTTAATCCAGTTAAAGTCTGGCCGAAGTTTTCTGGTCTTTTGTCAGTGCTGTGCATTTTACATCTGCATGGGTAAATAGGCTCCCCCCCCCCAATTGCTGTTTCACCCTCAGAAAAATGTTCCCTGTGATTGCATGCTCTCAAGGCAATAAATCTAGCCATCAGATCGAGGCAGGGCACACTAAACAATGGGACACTACAGTTTGACACCGAGTTGAAGTACAGAAAGGGTGGAGATTCACTTTTTTTGGATTAGCTACAAAGATTTAATGTTATACTGCAAAGCACCACTGACGGTCACAATATTCAGGAGTGCTTTGTTTGAATAACTTACATTTGATTTACAGGTTTGATATAATTAAAAATGCACTTTAAACACATCCGATGTTACCTTGCAGGGTATTTTTGCAGGATGAAATTTCAAGGCACATACATGTACGTGATCTGTAATTTTAAAAGACATTCATGCATCCAGAAGACCCATGATGAAGACAGGGCAAGATGGCACGCAGTGCAAGACAGCAAACATCCTTCCCTGACCTCTGGCAGAGACTTGTCGCAAAAAAACTATGGTGCAAAGTTTGTCTCTGTTTTCTGTAAAGCCCGGTTTCCTTATCAACAGAGAGAGATGCACAGAGCACCACCCGTCGCTTTGTGACGATACACAATCATGCAGAAATACTTTCATGTGACTGACATAAACAGGGATGGCAACAGTCATCAATTGATGTAACTCTCCCCACTGTCTGTGTTGAGTCGCCAGGTGTAAGCCTGTACAAACACACCAAGCTGGCCTTGGATGGCATACAGTGATGTCTCTCTCTCACTCAGTGGCACTCATTTTGCACGTTTTCTCTCTATTAAGGACATATTACAACCCCATTGTCAACAAAATTGCTGACCAAAATAAATCAAACTGGAATATCTGACTTCTCGAGGAGGTATCATCACCTAAAAATGGCATTTGATGCAAACAGTTTTAAGTTTCCGATCCATTTGTTTCATATTTTTATGTAATGACATCACGCAGCATCTCTTCCATGACTGTCTGCATCTTGACACGTCGAGTGCTGTCCGTGATCGTTACAACCATATGGAAATCAGGCTTACATCGTGCCCTCTGAGAAATTTATCCTCAACGACAAAGTCAGCACTCCCTTCCCAGACCCGCGTTGTAGTCAGTGAAAGTACACTAAAAATGCCATCAATATGCATAACTATGCTGCATGCTCTTGATAAGTCACGGGAATGTTTCACAACCCATGCACTGTTTCAAAACACAGAAATATACCATTCCTAGACATATGACTCAGGAAATCCAGTTACAAGGCACTGATATGAACATGTACATTGTTAAAAAATACAGAGAGTTCACCTCGACATACAACTCTGGACATGTTTCAGAGTATGAATTAAACAGAAAAAAAGAAAATTTTACTTCCATACAGTACAGCTCATGCTTTCTGATAACAGACCTCATGCAAATGGCGAAGTATTTTGGAAAGAGAGCAGTCTAAACAAGTTCGTTAGATCACCTATAGCGTTTAATTTAACAATAATACTAGGGTTTACAAGTCATAGAAATGGAAAAAACAAAGGTTTCAGTGTTTCCAAATTTTTATGATATTTGGTTGGATTAAACCGAATTGGACAAGCACCCTTTCAGTACTGTCATATGTTAAACGAGATGTGTATTTTCAGATCAGATGGGAATGTGGTGATGACAAGGTTTGAGGTGCCCTCTGATAAAAGCTGTTGGCAGTTTTATGCTACAGATGTAACTGAGTTGTGTGACCCAAGTCCGGGACCCAGACTCGACCCCACCTCCGGTTGCAATTTCTATGACTTGGTGTCAAGACAAGTCCAGTCAGCAAATGACTCTGACCAGAGTGTTGTAGCCGAGTGCTACACAGCACTCAAAATTCTTCTCAAAGTACTCCTGGATCTTCAGAAGTGGTCACAAATATCCCAGTATCGATGCATACCATAAGGTAATCACTTGTCAATTATAAGACAATCCTTTCTTTTCCATCAGCTGTTAGTACTGAAAGTACTAGTCACATTACTGATGACAAGTGAAAAATACTTGTGAAAGCTCAGTTACAACACTGACTTGGACGCAGACTCAACTCTCATGACTCAGACACAACATGCAGGACTCGTGAGTCACATATTCACTCTATTTTTCACCACCACAATGAGAAATTTCATTGGTCACACAAAGACAAGGAGTTGTTTGAGAATATGTCCAAGTCTGCCATCAGTAACTAGTCACCATAACGTGAGACATATTTCTGTTAAAAAATCTCGCTCTAATCCAGTGACTTGATTGGATTACAAACGTGCACGAATTAAATATGATATTATGCTGATTATCAGAAAAAGTGTATTGCATTTTTTTCCAAACTACACACTCCAAGCACCCGTGGAATTGTTGAATGCCTGTTAAAAGTTCATAACAAAGAGGAACCAAAATATTTACACATTATGAAACCTTACTTATTTTTGTTCGTGTAACTTTTTTCATTATCCATGTGCACCATTGTAGAAAGTTTCCATAATGCTTGCTAAATGGGTCAGCCATTTTTCCCCTTACATATGAGTACACAAAATGCATGGGGGGGGAGTGTTAAGGCATCTTTCCAGATAGGCATTTTTGGGTGCGTAGTGTACATGATGTGTTAATGCATTTCACTTTCACGGAAATCGACTCCATTAACAAAACACACGTGTGTGCTGTGCTCGGCCGTCAAAATCACCATGGCAATGATTCCGACAGAGACGCAACGCTTGGCGCAAGTGCTAACGCACACACAGAAAGGCGCCTCTACAATGCCTTCGTATGCTTTCCATGTTAACTGGCGGGGGCAACTGACAAATGGCCATCGTCGTTTTGTTGCATAAAATTGCACCATAGGAAGGAATCTGTGGACCAGACTAATTGTTATACCCCCAAAACGATGGGAAAATAATTGGACAACCACTGTTGAAGTGTACGTCTGAATAAAGGCACCATGATCAGCAAGGCCTTTAAAAAGGCAGCCTCAACATTCAATCTACAAAAAAAATCCAAAAATTCAAATTACAAAATATGAGACATTTCCATGGTCTAATAAACCAAACATGCTAATATATATAGAGAACAAATCACACAATCTGTTTGCAGAGACCAGTGCAAAAATGAAACTATGTCTCAACTTGGTCTGTGCATTGGGGGGGACGCTAATTTTTGAATAACTAATTAAAAATTCAGTGGGAATTTAGTTACCTTCTCAATAAATAAGAGCTTTGCTCTAAATTTGGATAAAAGTACATGTACCTCTTCACAAAATCTCTGAACCCAACTCGGCAGTGCTAGCACATTGAGATGTGCGCAATACACACACCTGTATGCATTTGCACACAATTCCGGTGGTCATGCCTATACATGTAGTTCTTTGGATATCTACGAGTACAGAACATGTATTTCGGTTGCTCAACATACAAATCAAAAGATACCAAAAACTGTGAATGCCAAGTGACAAGCTCTCGGCTAATGCAGCATCCATTGGTGAGTTGTAATAAGAAACACAATGCCCTCTCCTCGGTGAGCTGTATTACGACATAACTTAGTGTTTGACCGTGTGTAAGGACTACCAGTAAGTAACTGGCATTGGCTAAATCAAATATTTTCTGCACTTACTAGCTCCATGAAACTTGTAAACTCCTTGTAAACCCCAAACCATGAATACTTAAAACCTCAGGAATAAAGTGTGTATGTAACAGCCGTCTGCTCCTGCAGACACATTCGTATACATAAGTGCTACATCTGTCTGCTGCTGTTTCATGATCTCAACCTTGAATTGTTACTGTGAAACCCTGATTCTTAAATGGCCTTGTGCAAATACCTACATGTAATACATGGTTAAATAGATGAAATACGCCCACTGGTTAAATACATGAAATACACCCCTCTTTTCTCCCAAGCGGATGGATGTAAACGCAGGTAACTGAGAGATTTGAAAATTAAGCAGTACAAAATAGTGCATGGTTACTAGAATTATTAAGCTGACCCCATGTTAGGGGTCATGAGAAAGCTGACTGCAGTCAGACCCGATATCTGGGAGATCAAGGTAGGGTTTGGAGTAATGCTACCCGCCATCCTTGCTGAGGCTGGGGCCCTACGGATGGGCGTTGTCTTTGGAGCTGTTGGGTTCCTCTGTCGTGGGACTCTCTTGGGTGCCTCCAACGTCCTCTTCCTCTGCCAGACCGTCCAGATTGTACGTCTGTGCAGTCAGGCTGCAGCACTGAAACGACACAGTGCAGGTGGAACATTACTAATTGTCGCACAAAGGGGGGAGGGGTTGGTTGCCAGGGAGGGCGTGGCTGCCAGGCAGCTCAGGGCCCGGTATTAAGACGAAGTGCCTCCTGTCAAACGTTTTTTGGGAAAGAAGACATCAGACGGGACTGGTTTGGTGGGGGGGAGGGAGTGTTGGCACGTTCAACATTGGTTTTGCTCTTCACCACACTGTGACTGTGCCGTGTTCTTTTAGTGAACCTGCAAGAGAAATTCACAAGTTTGCACAGGAGGGACTTGAACCTGTTACCACTTTCTTGCAAGAGAGGATGCTTTTACCATTCAACCAGTGATCTTTCTGGGTCCGCTAGACCATTTGAAACAAACACGGCCGAGTGGACACCACGGCCATGCAACCTGAAACATCAGTTGGATGTGAAGTCAGTATCAGGCTCTTGATACTCCTCGCTAAGGTGAATGCACTTTTCCTAGAACTTTTTTTCCTTCGTTCAAAATAATTTGAATGTATCTGCATGTTTTGGAACCACTTTGTTAGTTAGGATAAACTAAACCAACAACTTGGGTCAATTTATAAAAAAAAGTAGCCGTGATGATGAAACTGAAAGTTTCCGAACATTCGACATTTATACCCTGGCTATACCCTCAAGGAGTAGCATGGAATACTCACTGGGATGGGTATGTTTTTCAGAAACGTCACTCCTAACGTGATCAGACAATACCAGACCTGCAAAGAATGCATACGGTGTGTCAGAATGGATTTACCAGAGCAGTAAGGCCACAGCTCTGCACGTAAATATGAAGTTTGCCCGGAATGCATTTTGGTATTGGTTCAGCAAGCCACTCAAAACAGCTTGTCCGTCTCAATAAGCAAGCCACTCTGAGCAACTTGCTAATCTGTTCATTTAACGAGCGAGTCACTGTGAAGAGTTTGCCTATCTTTTCATTCAGCTGCCCTGAGCAACTCACCAATCATTTTATCCAGGTAACAAGTCACCCTGAGCGACTAGCCAATCTTTTATTCAGCTAGTAAGCATCCCTGGGAGACTTGCTTTTCTTGAGTTTCTAGTCAAATGGCATGCCAGCGGGAAGGGCTTGCCCTATCCTTTTCACTCAGCCAACAAGCAACTCCAATCACCTTGCCTATCCTTTCATTCATGCACAACCAGTAAAGGTGTGCTTTTCATTTCAATCCAAAAGGTATAAGCTCTAAAGAATGCCACAAACTGGTGGGAATGAAGTCAACATTTCAGAGACATTTCCCCCATTTCATTAAACCGATTTCTCCACAAAACAACTGTCCCCGTACCACTATGTCTGCCTTACTCCACTTACCAAGTAGCATATAAAGACAAGGTATGCGCAAAGAATAACGGCAACTAAGACGTACATCGCCCAGTGCTGCGGTAAAGAGGGCACGTACGTCACAACAAAGAACATGTTGATACCGATGATGGCGACAGCTAACAAAACACAGAAAATCTTAGAGATTCTGTAAGGTGAAAAGAAAAAATACAATCAATGACCAGGAAGGCCAACTAAAGGACTTTGAATGCTTGGAATGTTTATAGTTAATGGTAAAATTTTGAAGAACTGATCGGCCGTAATGTGCATCATACTCACATTCCGTTCTTAAAGTCGCTCATTAACGTGTCTGCACTGGTGAACGTTAGAATTGGAATCAAGGCAAAAGGTAGCTGAGGGTCAAAAAAAGCAAAGAGGAGACAGTCTCACTTTGGGGAATTGAGAATCTTCCAAAACTAAAGACAGATATGGGCACATGATCACTGTGCACTAGTGCAGATGTCTTAACAACATGACCCCTGAGCTTGCCAGGGTTTAGCTGGCTGGTTCAGAGCTGAGCTGGAGTTAGTAAATATCAAAGGCCATCCGGTCGCCAGTGAAGGCACAAGCTACTCAGATGAGCACTGACATAACCATTCCTTTATCACTGTTCAACCTGTTACTTATAACTGGTCTAGTGAAAGGACTTGTGATTAGAGCCATTGGAGTTGTCAAAGAGCTTGAGATGGGCTTGACTAAATCACTGATTGTAATCAGTGTCTTAATTTAGAATCTTTGGAAAATAAGTAAGCAAGAGAAGAACATTGAACTAATATTTATTCATGAACTGTAACCTGTTGCACAAAGACCCTGCTACTTGCGACACGTCTTACCTGCAGACTCATGACGACGTTCAGGAGATCGTTCATCCCGGTCAGGTCATCCACGCCCTTGAAGATTGCGATCGTGATGGTGGGCAGGATGGCGATGGACCGTGTCAGCATGATACGCTTCCAGCGCGGCCACTTCAGGTTCAGAAATCCCTCCATGACGAACTGGCCGGCGTAGGTGCCGGTCATTGTTGAGCTCTGGCCTGATGCCAGGATCCCAATGGCCCATATGTACAATGCCACAGCACCAAACTCACAGCCAAGGTACAAGCCCTGTGTGCAAGAAAGCATTGCTTTTCAAATGCTTAACCCTTTGCGAACCTGACCCTCTAAGCTCTTTAACATTAGAAATTAAGTGAATGAATAGTGCATGTTAATGAGAGTCAGGGTAAGAATACCTTCATGAGGTTGGAATGTTCCATTCCACGTTGGATGGAACAATCTACCCGACACTGACTGGTAAAAATACACTCGGAAACATTTCATGCTGCAAGTCAGTTCTCAACTTAACTCAAAGTTAACAAGAGATCAACCTTGCTCAGAAAACTGAAGGGAAACCATTGCCACTTTGTTTTAAAGTAGGGGCAAGAGGATTTGTTTGATTGGTGTGTGACCAACGTATTGAGAATTCACAACAACTCCACTTGTCAATATGTGAACTCACTGTGACAAGTTAACCACTTGCTGCCAGGTGCTTTAAAAAATGCAGTGCACACATACAGGAGATTTTCAAGATTTTCAGTTTTCAAAATTCTTCAAAAATTCGTCATTTCATTTAACCCTAACCCCCCAAGGGTTGCTGGCCCTAAACTTCCCCATTCACACAAAGTTAAACACCAATATGGGACTTTGTGCACAGAGGCTGTTGGACTTTGTTTTTCTGAGGTATGCCAAACCCAATGCAAAAGCCAGCTGTTATGGGCCTACCAGACCTATCCCCACAGAATTACATACTTTACTACTGTTTAATTCTGTGTGGTTGGGGAAGGTTAGGGTTAATGGATGTTTCCACCCACACGAATGACTATTTGGTGGCTACTCTAAGCTGACAGGCAACCTTCGTTAACTCCTGAGTATTCCAGCCAGGCCTGCTGCCCTGTAAAGAGAGCCCAGAATTGTGAGGTGTTGCGTAATTTCCTTTGTCCCCAGTGAATGCGAGTGGCGTCTTTTAAAATGCGGCTGGATTAGCATGCAGCGGTGCTGTGTCGCTAATCAATGGGGCCCTGGAGCACTTTTGTCCGCGGTGCTAATCCGCGAGCACGCTATGCCCAAAACAGTGGTATACTGTTAAAAAAAGGGACGGGTAACCTTCGAAAAATGCAAGCCAAAAAATGATGCTAATTCCCAGCAGCAGGTCTTTTGCTCAGAGTACGGTCTTTTCTTACATGGACCAGCTTTTTTGTCCGGTTTCGGGCAGCCCGGCTCTGCGTATAAACCCATGGTGCTTGAAACAGGGTTCCCCGACAGCAAGTGGTTAAGAGCTCAAACTCAGCACTCCAGTAGACCGAATGTGCCTGCTAAATCACATGACCTACAGTGGGTATCAAACATCAGGAAACATAGCATCTTCCCACAGCAACGTGTCTCCTAAGAGTCATTTACCAAACATAAAGCCGACGTTGGTAAAAATCCTCAGACTACTCATGTGCTGAGCATGACACTGACAATGGACTTTATTTTGGTAAACACCTTGCTGTGGAAGGACACCATGTCTGTTGATGTTTGATACCAACTATCAGCCACTTTAATAACACAGATGGTGTAATAAGTCTTTTGCAAGTTAAATTTGAAAAAAATGTGGTAAACAGAGTTCTTTCAATTCACATGAACATAACGATTTGAATTCTCCACACTAAAGATACTGTTGCTATACCGCGTGATTCGGGGCAAGCTTTTCCTTAGTAATGTAAGAGATGCCTTGCACCAATACACTGTTTTCAATAGATAAGAAGGGTACAAAGGAACCAGTCCATTCCAGAGATGAAAGTCGCTATGCAAAAGCTTGCCCCGAATCACAAAGCATAGCAACAGTGTCTCCAGTGTCTCTAGAATTCAAATTATTATGTTCATGTGCAATAAGATAACTCAGTGTACCAGATTTTATTCAAATAAAATTTGCAAAAGGCTTATCAGTCTTTCATGCATGAAAATAACCACATATGATACCAATCATATATCCTTACCCCTTTGAAAATGTCCATTTTCTCTACCAGGTTTGTGTTGTCGGGGAAATATTTTGTGTAGTTGAATGCGATGTCTTGCGCTTCGCACATGTTGTACTGAAAGCAAACAAATGGCAATCACTGTAACGTGCCTGTCAGTTTTTTGTGTTAAGCAGAATTATCCCTCGCCTAAGGGACTAAAATGCCTGAGAGACCCAAATACCTAAGGGACCCAAATGCCTAAGGCATTAAAAATCTGTGCTTGTCATAAGCAAAGAATTTCTACTTCCTGTGGCAGACAATTCTGCATTATCTGTTAGTGCATTTCACAGGTAAGCAAGAAATGTTTTACTTGCGAGGACACGTGCATCCCGCAACGGAGGATTCTTTGATTTAAAGGATGGCATATAATTTTCTTGCTACCATCAGATGCAGTAACCCTGGAATGATGACGGTAAACATGGAACAGATCTAATTCATGGGAAGCCATGCAGTTTCAATTTTATTCACTGAATCTATTGTAATCAAAGCAATCTGTTAAATAGGCTCTAACCTCGCTTTCAATTCATTATGGCCTCCTTGTGAGTAAGCAGTTCACTTCATGAACCAGGCATCCCCCCTGGCAACTCATGCTAAACCCTCCCACATCCTACAAAGTCCACCAGCTGATCTTGGCGGACTTGGTAGGGTTGAGGCAGGTGTGGCCCAAAACAATTTTTTTCCACTCTTAATGAGACTTGATACCCCTTGAAAGTTAAGGTACAAAATATGGGCCACTGGGTTCCTGCAGTGGAAAATTTCTGGAAATTTGGGAAAGGGCTAAAGGAAATGGGCGCATGCTTACGATTTCGGCATTGGTGTGCTTGTACAGCCCTTCAGCGAAGACGGACACCACGAACAGGTTGATAATGAACGCTACTAGTAGCGCAATACATGCTTCAATAAAAAAATACATGTTGGCTTCCTTGATGGCCTCTTTCTTCTCTCGGCGTACATCACGCGACTGCAAGAAAAGAACACCAGGCCCACTGAGCCTTAAGTTTGAATATCTGGTGTCCCTGAGTTTTCTTGTAACACATTCACACTCCAGGCTTGATTTCTCCTGAGTGGGTGATTGCTGAATCTTGTGGATTGGAACCAACTTTGTGGATCATTTCAAAAATGGAACTGGTCATACAGATTTTGTGTGCAAATACATGTACAAAAATGCCCTCTTCAGCCTACAATAAGAGATAAGCTTGAATGATGACCACTGGCAAATTTTCCCTGTAATCTGTGCATAACATAAATCCTGGGTACCAGGCAATATCAACTAATGGTTGACCAAAAACCCCCATAGACTGCACTTAAACTTGCCTATACATTAAATAAACCACAGAGTCGGCATGTCAATCAGTGAAAAGAAAATGACCGCCCAAAATATCGGCCATAAGTCTGCCCTTGCCCATTCACGCAAGCAGTCCCGACACTGAGCATTTCCAACCGTGCAAGCTCTTTTTGGTCTTACCTTGACGAGAGCTGAATGTAGGTAGATATTGTGGGGCATGATGATGGCACCAATGATGCCTACCGCTTGCAGGCCCGCTTGTTTGTCACAGCCCTGGCACCTGGGGATGAACAAGCCTGCCAGTACTTTCGTCTGGTCTGGGGCTACGGTGATGTACTGAGAAAGATCAGGAGGACAGATATATGAACTGGTAGCTTTTCATTTGCCAATCAGTAAATGGAATGGAATCCAGCTCAACACAACCCAGCCCAGCTCAGCTACACCCAACCCAACCCAACCAGCCACGCCCAACCCAGCACAACCCAACCCAGCCCAGCCCACCCCAACCCAACACAGCCCAACACACCCAACACTCAGTGGAAATATAACCTATGAAACACAACTTATAATTTGGAAACACTAATAAAGATTTTCAATGTACGGGTAGCACTTTTGGGATTGACTTGAATTCATACTAGAAAAATTTTGGACTAGTAATTAGATCTATTGATGTGCACATACCTCATATCCGAATGTTATTGCCATTATCGTGATAAGGAGGCCAAAAAACGCTTCAAGCTTACGTAATCCTGAAAATAATGAAACATATATACATCAACATCTAGGAAATAACAAAAAAATGACTTAGGGTTCACTGCAAGTAGATAGAGTTATTCTTACAAAGTGTAAGTCTTGTAGTCAAGTCACCAATGTCAAGTCACGAGTTACAAGCCTCGAGTCCGAATCCAAGCCACTTGTTTTAAGTTATTCACCAATCTGCTTGGCAGGCACATAGAATTCTGTGGTTTTTGCTTGACATACAGGAACGTGTGCTTTTCTCAGATTGCTTAAATTAATCATTTTTCAAAGCATTATAGTTCAAAATAAAGGAAAAGCAAAGTTTTTCACCAGAAAGAAGAAGAATCCACCAAACTTTGAATACAAGCAGGTGTTTTCTTTATTCTTTACAAAAAGCCTGCACCGCAGACTCCGGCTCCTGGGCTACTTAACGTGAATGCATGCATTTCAATGTTGCAGATCTCGCCGTTCTCACCAGTCAAGTGGAAAAAAATGCCACCTCGGCATTGAGTTTCATTAAGAAGGAATGCTACGGTCATTTAAGAAATTTGTAAAATTTTAAAGAAAATGTGTGACTCGTGTCACCAAGCTTGAGTCCGAATCATCATGGTCGAGTCTGAGTCATTTTCCAATGTGACTCGAGTCAAGTCCGAGTGACGAAAAAAGTGACTTGTGTCAGACACCTGGATTTGAGTCCTACAACACTGCAAAGTGCCATTTTAAAGGAAATAGGAATGGTACATATACATGTACATGATGTTCATTTTAAGCACAGCACAGCATGTCTTTGATATACATGTACAATGCAGACAGTCTGTGTAAGACCTGCAGTCACTGGTGGAACCTCACAATTACACCTAAGTCACTAGGACCAAAGCTACATGTACATGTAATTCTAAATGTGTTGGACTTGATTTTCAACTGAATGGGCAAATTGTTGACCATGTATGTAGTGTCTCCACATCAAAGGAACGCAAATGAACAAGACTGCCCATCGGATATGGTACTGGACTGCTTAATAACACACGTACATGTAATAGATTTATAAGGCCCAGAAAAGGAAAGACACAAAATCCGTAGTCTTCTTAAAAACCCCCACACCAAAACTTAACTTATCTGTGTTAACAAACACAACAAAATGTTAAAGCTTGTGACCAGAAATAAGACTGTATGTTGATTTCAGTCATGGGAAAAATGGTCAAAAGTTCACTCAAGGGACAGTACACCTGATCTTAGCAAGTGAATTTAATTAAAACTCTACAATATGCTCGTAACTTGAGACGTGCTTTCTAGAATGAGCTTGTTCAGTATTCCAACAGCACATGCCCCGCACGAGGCTATTCGGAACAGCTATGTGCCTGCGACAGTCTGTCCCATTAGCGCAGCCATACATTGACTCACATGCCCACTTTGTTCCCAAAACACCTTGGCTTTTTCAAATACCAAACTGGCTCATTATATAATAACCAACAGCCTTGGGTATAAATGACAACAGAATTATGCCGCCACATATGGCACTTGAAGCCAAGTTCTTGGTGACAGACAGGCTCCAAATAATAAAATGCAACCAGCCGTGGTGGAATAGAAATCAAATTATGAATTTATGAAATATTTTACTGTGTTAAGACTTCTGATATACGTCGACCTGCATATTTTTCAGTTCATGACAATGCCTGTGGATCACTTCACAGCACGGCGCTGCAGGGAAATGAAGAAATCTATGCATCTTTGCATATGTTTTGAATGGTGATATAATGGAAGCAGGGTGCAGGTACACGCACCATACTCATGTACACAGTACGGCAGAGAATTTACAAGAACACAAAATGAGGGGAAAAAAAGAGTAGGCAAAATACCAGAAAGTGCTAGCGTTTGAAGCAGACACAGTATCCCGTATGGAAAATATACAGTGTAGTTTTAACCATCACAGTTACTAGTACATGTTTATCATTGACATAGCACGCTATTTCAAATTGTAAAAATCATATCTTCATTACATGTTCACGTACACGGGAATGAACAATTTGTCACTTTCCCTGAACAGAGACTTCACTTCACTGCTTTTTGGTGGTAGGAAGAACATACGAGTGCAGTCCATGCCACAGATATGCACAGCATAGGGCCTTTTCGAAACGAGTGGATTAGGCTCCGTCTTCGGCTTCGCTGGTACCAGTCAGATCCTCTGCATGCAGATTCAAATACTGCCTCAGGTTGACTGGAACCAGCGAAGCCGAAGACTAAGCCTAATCCACTCGTTCGAAAAGGCTCATAGTACAGGGTTCTTTACTCCAAGTACTGAAGTACAGCAAGCAAGTCTGAAACTGGATATCAAGCACTTTTTTAAAAGAAATTCTTTTCCAATAAAACTCTCTCAGGATCGTCTGATTTTTTCGACACAGAGTAATCTATTTCCAGTGCTGGAATTCTGTATTTATCATTACATTTTCAACACATAACAAGTGTACACGTACATGTATATTTAAAGCTACGCAACAACATGTGAATGTACATATACACATGTGCAGTGTACGCATGGACTGATGCTACAAAATGGGTGTGGCATACACTAAGGGGCGGTAATTTAGCCAACATGCGTATTCTTCAGAAGCAAAAATCAAAAAAAGCTTTTAAAGTGCACTAGCCAGAGCGCAAACATTACATGAACTGCACTGCATAATGAAAGCGTTCCACCTTTTAGACGGAAAGTGTTGATAAACAGAAGACAGATACGATTTGGATCTCTCAAGAGTGGACGGCAGTGAATGAACTGAGACGGCAGATGGCAACCTACCATACTTATCCAGGAAGAGGAAGACAAAGGTATCAGTGATTGTGATCAGAACGCCCCCGTAAAGCGGAATCCTGTCGGCAAGAGCAGAGAAAAGACAATCAAATATTGATCAAACAGATTCACATCTGCACAACACTTCTGTTACTGAAAGAAACTACCTACTGCTGTTTACTGTTCCAATTTCCTGCGATGGTGGTCCATCACAGGTGTGCTTTTGTCTCATTTTTTGGAAGACGATGAAACAAAACTCATGCTAGCCTCTGACTCATTAGAATTCCTTGAAAGGTTAAAAAAGAAAAAAAGTTGAGGTTTTGGATTAACTCTAGACTATTTTCTTTGTTTTCAAATAGGTCTCTCTCAGATAACATCACATCCTCCAGAGCTGCATTTTGGACATTAAGCCTAACACTCCTCAATCCTTCACCTGTTGGAGGACTGAGGAGTGTTAGGGTTACATTTTCATGATGTGTATGGGCTGTGCCGTACTTTTCAAAACTATTTGGATCAATACACTTGCACTTAAAGAATCTTTCCATACTGAAGGCACACGCACCTGATAGCAGATAGATCTATACAAACACATAACAAAGTCTGGTACATATATGTATATTTGTTTGGGAGTCTGGATTTTTTTTTGTTCAGTCTTCTGAGAATTACTCACTTTCCATTGGAGAGCAGATGGAAGGCGATAGCCGTGCCTATGACCTCCTGCATGTCTGATCCAATGATGGCAATCTCCACCATCAGCCACAGCACTATGCGGGGCACCTTGGGGTATTCCCGGTAACACACCTACAATTGATATCAGGAGAGTCATAGACCAGCCAAATCACAAATCCCAAGCAGAGTTAACTGATGACCACTACCTGCCGCTGGTACACGTATTTCCTGGTAACCACCTACATCTGATGTCATGGGAGTCACAGACCGAATCACAAAACCCTTACAAGCTCAACTACAACTCCCAGTGCATGCCAACTTGCTGACTCCTGGTAGCACACCTACATTTACAAACTGATGTCATGGAAGTCCTACATGTACTGTCGTAGACCAGTCAAATCACAAGTCAAATCTACTTTTATACAAAGTGTCCCCGCCGTCTGCTCACAGTTACCCAAATGTAGCAAATCCACTGGTCTAATTCTGTAGTCAGGGTAATTTTCTGAACTACACGTATTTTGTTGTGAAAACAGAGGTTCAGTTCAGTAGTCAGGGTAATTTTGCGAACTATTTTGTTGTAAAATCAGACGTTCGTGTTTCACTTTACCGTGGAGGACATATGTGCAACAGGAACAAAACATTTTTCACTTGATGGTCGGTCTTTGTTCAATTCTGTCCTCTGTAATAAAGTGCCCCTGCTTCATCTAAGGAAGAATGCTATTTCATGAGAGAAGCTGGAAATGTTACAAATTTGCCCCATCCCATGGTGAAAGCCGAGGGCACGTACATGTGAACATACATGCCAGTCTTCTCCATGTTATTCTAAATGAATACATTGTCAGGACCATGGAGGTAGGACATACAGCTTAATATGAAGTCATGTGGTATGCATCATCTGGGAGCCATCTTCTCTCACTGTCTCAACTGAACGACATATCTCTGCAGTCATTAAACAAGAAACACTGGAGACAATGCACCAGGCGTGCAGCGGCATTACCTCAGCCAAGTGCATCCCTGTTACTACGCCAAGACGGGCGGAAAGACGCTGCAGGAGCAATCCCATCAGAGTGGCTAGCATCAGTATCCATAGCAACTGTAGTAAGCAATCAATCCAGACAAATACATGTACAATACAAGGTACTCATGTACGGTGTACATGTACCGGTACATACATGTGCAGTGCAAATTTGGCTTTATCGTGGGCGTAAATGTAACCCTCCACATCTGTGACTGGGAGGGGGGATTAGCAACGTACGGATAAACCATTAGCAGTTGAGGGAGGGGTCAATTTCAGTTTTTTTCCCAAGCAAATTGGCTCTTTTCATCTCCTTTCATCCCTTTTATCTTTCTTTTAATCTTTTGGGGGGGGTAGACAAGTGTTCCCCTTACTCCCTCTCCTGGCGCCACCCATGAAAGGTAATGATGCTTTAAACTGGGACTGAGCTACTGGAACGTGCATGTACCATATGCTTAAATCTAACAGTACATTTACAGGTTCAACTGCCACATAAATGCACCACGTGTAGTGCATTTAACAGTCAAGTTTACTTTTATCACGATGCATGAAGTCTCAGGGTTATCTCAATGGCAGCGCTGTACATCTTCAAACAGATGGTCACCCGTATTTTCCCATTCATACGGTACATGTAATGCATGCATCATGCTCACAGATAAACCGACCGGTACAATGCACATGTATGTGCATATATTCCAGTGTTGTAGTGGAGACCACTTGAGATCTTCAAAGACCAACACAAGATCTTCAGTCTGAATTCAGGTCACGGGCTATTCAAATGAACTGCAACAAAAGCGTTCCTTTGTCATTGTTCACTCTGTTACTTGTGACTGGCGTTGTGATGGTCCCGACTATAACACTGATTGTATGTACATACACAAAATGTATCAGCATCCGTTTACCTGCAGTCACTTTCTCTTTACATTGAGATAAGCTTATTGCAGCGTTCATTCTGATATATATATGCAAATAAACAATATCTATATATCCAAGTACATGTACATATTACACATACCTGTCCATATGTAAACAGCAAAGTGAAAACTACTCTCAAGACCAAAAACGATTACTGTTCTTTCAGGCATCCGTTATCCTTTTGCCATTTCATACATTTTAAAAATTTGCTCAAAGCCAAAAAGTGTACATAAATTTAGACAGCAGCAAAGCTATCCCAAAATTTCTCCATACATGTATACAAAACAGAATGATTGTAACTGTTCAAATTCTTTGAAAATGTAATGCGCATGTGCATACATGCAACAGAACACATGATTTGGAACAAAAAAACCACAAAATTGGGATTCAAAATAATAAAATAAAATGAAGCAAATGTCGAATGAAGTATTACTATTTTCTCAGCATCTGTTTAGCTAATAGTGTTACAGCTGTCTGTTGCAATAAGCATGATGGGGGAGAATATGTAAATCGTTTGGTTGGGTAATCCTTGAAAACAACCAAAAAAAGGTCCTTGCTTCCTTTTAAGAATGACTGTCCGCTATACCTGGTGAAAATTGCCCCCGCAAGCTGTTTTGTAATAGAACTTGGACGTATTCATTTCTGAATGTTTACTCACATATCTTACTTGTGAAAATGTTTACAATACCTGAAAGTTGGCGTGGAAGCCCGACTGTAGATCAGATTCAATGTTGCCAGGGTCCAGGTAAGCAATGCTCATGAGAAACCCTGGTCCGGTGAACGCCCACAGCTTCCGGAAGCTGAACGAATACTACAAGAAAGGGGAAAAAGAAGAAACAATTCAATAGAAATCATACACAAGTAACTGATGTAAATTAGGGTGATGCAAAATAATATGAAATATAGCAATATTTCATTTCAGATCGTGTTCAGTCCAAAAGGCTTTCAAGTATCAAACTCACACGAATCATTTTTAACACCAGAATGAATTTTTCACTCTGATGTATACAGACTTTAAAAGATTAAATTGTCTCGCACTGTCAGTATTAGTTCCGACAGCAATTTGTGCAAATTAAGTAAACACAATCGATATAGCATAAACGTGAAATGAGAAATAAAAGCAGGCTGTCATTCTCAAAAACAAATATTTGCATTAAACTAAAAAGGCATAATTAATTCAGCTTTTAACAGGTTATAAATACTGTAAATTGAATAGAAAGAGCACAAAATGTTCAATGCATTCACACATGTATTTATGCAATGTACATGTACATGACTGTATGGCACGTATATACATGTTTAATAAGAGAATGTGTGACATTAAGTGTGTGACATTAAGTGTGTGACATTAAGGCAGGTTCATACTTGGTGCAAAAGCAAACATGAACACAAAATTGTGACATCCGATCAAATATTCGCGTTGCGAATTGGTAAAAATTCAACACATTTCAACTCGGGTAAAATTCGCTGCGTCTTTTTGAAGACGTCAAATTTGCTTTGTTTTCGCATTTGCCTGAAGCATGAACCGGCCTTTAATGTGTAAGAAATGTAGACCCAAAGAAATGCTTTTTCGTTAATGAGAGGGACTTTCATGTCTCATGCTTTTGGAAGTGACAATACCAGCACATCATATTAAATGAGCAGTGAAGAAAACAAGACTTCTTCAATAAAAGTTGATTGTTAGTGGAAAAGTATGACTTGAAAAAAGCAGTAACCTGAGGCTACTGCGTGTACAAGAGAGTATTCCCCAAGATAAGGGTTTGATTTCCAATTATGAGAACAATTTTCCTCATGTAAGAATATTCAGTCTTTGGCAGGTCACAAATGCACTTTGAAAGGATGCATGTAGACACAGAGAGAGAGCTACATGTACAAGCAGACCACCGATAGAGCCACAAGTTCTTCTGGGGCCTTGTCTTACCAATGACCATGTCAACCACTGGTTAATTTTTCCCTGTAACCAGGCAAAATGAACCAGCTGTTGAGTAACCATTGCAGATCAAACCTCGCCCAAAGTGAACCTATGATTTCTAATTTGTTTTGGTAGATGAGGCTAGCTCTGCTCCCCACAAAAGCAAAGACAAATGTGAGTTTTTGATGTCTCAGCAAGTTATGCATTGCCAAGTTAAGCTGAACAAAATTTCAACTCATTTGTAAGTTCCATACACATGTAGAGGTAGCACTGCATTTGCCAGTACAGTAAATGAAAAAGGGGAATTATATGTTCATGTACACAATAGCAAGAACAAAACGGTAAAGTAGCTTAAACACTGCAAGAAAAGGATAGACTGACATGATTCAAGCTTTGAGCACATACAACTGATGTACAGGTGTATGTGTATTTCCTCCAACCGACTTTGTCCAGAAATTAAGCTACATTGGAATTACCAACTGCTGTAATTTAACCTGTATTATGAGCATCCATTAAAGGCCACTGAACTCGACTTTCTGGTCTGACTACAGAGAGCTTTTGGCTCAGTGTCATTACTGTCCTTAACAGAGACATAGCAAGATAAACAAGATGAGGCTTCGTGAAAGTATCTGTGCTTTAATCGTGATGACATAATTAGGCTTTAAAACGTGACCAATGTATTCAAAGTTCGGCTGCACCTTGGAACAGCAGGACAGCTTCAGCAGCAATGAACGACTTTGATGGACGAGGGCTCCAGAGTTGCTGTGAAATGTTCGTTTAAAATGAGACTCCAAATCAAGAGAGAGTCCCTTGTTTGGCTGAACCTGCATAGCCTGCCCAACATTCCCCAAAGCAGGAGTACTGATATTCCACTGTAACTGTGTCACCACGTCGATCTCAAGATTTCACATGTATTCTCCAGTGTGCTGGTACGTCAACAGAGGGCTGAGAAAGCCTAGGTGCAGGATCAGAAGGTACGAAGCGTTAACCCTAACACTCCTCAATACTCCAACAGGTGAAGGATTGAAGAGGGTTAGGGTTAACCCTCTGTTGCAATCCCAAGTACAAGAACCAAAGGGATAACAGTCAGACAAGAGCTACCGTACATATTACGCAGTGGATATACAGTTCTTCCTGCTGTGGGCTGATGCCGATGTTCAGTGTGACTTGAGATGCAAAGCGCATGGATCATTTGCCGTGTTAGATGAATAAGATGTTAATATACTTGACCAAAAACAACACAACGCAAACAATTCCAAAATATGTAAATCTTTCTACAAATTTTCACAAACATTTGAATGGACAGTTACCAGTCATTTTTTTTTTACTTTCTAGCAGAACACAATTCAGTATGGTTGTAATGTCTCTTTGTAAAACTGAACGCACGACACACCACACATCAGGCTGTCAGTGCCTGTGACTCGAAATATGGACAGGCCTTTCATATTTACATGTACATGTACTTACTACACATCCTATGCCAAAGTGTTTTTAAGGGGTACAGACAGTAAAGCACGGTTTACTGGCCATAGAAAGAAGCAAAATTTTACTTTGAACAGAAAGTTTCAAACAGATTAGATTAAGGATTCTCATGCATTTAAATGAAGAAAACAAAAACCATGGGCACTGTTCATGGATACTTGCTGTCAATACACTGAATACTATACATGTATATTCAACATGCTGCCTCTCACATGAGCACAGTGTACGAAAAAGAGCTTTTGAGAAACACTGTAGAAAGAAGTTGAATATACGAGAATAACTGGGGTCTCTATTCGACAAGCTATGCTTTTTGGAGGCCTCCATCCACTGTAACGGTAGCAGTCTATTGTTAATATGGAATGTTTCATATGGAAAATAAACTGAAAAGTGAAGTGAAGTGAAATGAAGTTAGGTAGTGACAGTACACGAAGTAATATCTTGTATTCGGTTCAGATCCGAGGCGAATAAGAATACAATAACATTTATCATTGTCACGGTAATGATTGCAAGGTTAAGTGGATAGGTGGTATTGTGAACAGCGTGTGGTATACAGTGCTAGTATGGAAATATGTCACTTCACGCTTGTCACCGTCGTATATACATGTACATGTAAGCAGAAGAGCAAGCCTTTTATTCACTTAATCACTGCTTTGCTAGCCTGAGAGCGGTGGATTGCATAGGTCAGGCGTATGTTTCCGCTTTTCCCAAACAATGAAAAAAGACAGGTTTTTGTGATTTTTTGTATCTGGCAACCACCAGAAGCAATAGATAATTTTCCCTCAATTGCAATTCTGATTAATACGATGTAAGAATATAAAGAGAAAAAAATTAGCGTATAAGAATGTTTACACTAAGATTAGTGTAGGCCGTAGAAATCAGGATTCATTGAATGGAGATTATCAGCAACACTTGATAAAACGTTCTCATGTTGAATCATGAGAGAAAGTAAGGCCGGCTTATTGTTTGTAACATTTGCAGTTATCAATATAGTAAAAGGGGGCAGGGGTCAAGCTGGTTACTGCAGCTCGCAGGGTGTGTTATTTTGGTAGATGACGGAATTAATTGATTTAAAGGTTCTTTAAATATGGACAAGTAGCTTGCTTTTATCTTTTTAAATTGACTGCTTTATACATGTACATGTAGCTTTTAGAAGCTGTTAAGCTGCATTATCCCCTTGTGTAGAAATACATGCATGATGGAGGCTCAGCTAAGCGACTGAATGGAGTTTTCCTCTTGCCTCTGCTCCAAAATAATTCTACTGTTTCCAAAGATGGTACAGTTTCCCCAATGCACATTTGAAGAGAAGTCAAGATGGGTAAGTAATGTAAGTCTCAGACCACTGGAGGATCACTCACGGTGTCAGTTCAAGTCACTAGTTTTTCCAACAAACTGCAGCCAACATATTTCTTCATCATTGCGGATTATTCATTTCTTAGAATTATGAATTAACTGTGCTTTACTACGGAGCCCCTAAAGGGACATCCCAATTTTTTTATACCTTGCGCACGACTTATTATCTCGTGTGCACAACTTACACTAAAGCTTTTCCAAATCTCCGAGGATAGAAGCCTCGTGTTCAGGCCACCTGATGTACCATACAATGCTCGACCTGTCGTACTGCATGCAGTCGGGATATCAGTGGTAGTACACGTACATGTACATTATGTAACATGGGCACCACGAGTATGCAGCACTATTATGTGACGATAAGTAGTGCGCACCAGATAATAGAATTATTGGGATGTCCCTTTAGGGGCTCTGTACTTTATAGCATTGCAATCAAAAGTTTATCTGAGAATGGACAACTCTCTTCACAATTCCTGGGAAATTCCTTTTCATGTCACAACGCATGTAGAATGTGAAAAACTTTTACCACCGTGGGATAAGATTTCCGCGCCTTTTCACACAAGAGGGAAAAGATCTTCACATCTTTTCATTTCCAGTCCTTGTGAAATACGTATGGGGACGTAAACAGGAATTCTTTTCACAAAATTTCCCACTCCTATTCAGTGTTAACTTTGATTTTTTTTTTTCCATTTGCACAGATAAGATGCAAACTTGAGTTTTGGCTTTGTTCTTCTCAAGCTGATCCCAATGAGCTGCGTAGAACGGTGATCAAGATGTTTGCACTAGTACATGTATATGGTTCGAGTCTGGTCTGCACGAGCTTATGAATTTGAAGTGACACACAATATCGGAAATCATCGAGTGCAATAAAACTGATGTGCAGGTATCAATTTACTGGTATTTACAGAAACGTATTAATAATTCAACGACATGCTGCACAGCAACAAGGCATTTGCAACCCAGGAGAAATTCTCCTATTACATGTGGAGTGCTGAGTGGCCTCGTAAGAGTATTGAATTTGTAATCAGTGGGTAAAGCCGCAGCTTGTGGGTTCAAATCCAGCCTGGGGTCATGGTGCACGAGCCCTTGGGCAAGGCACTTTGTCACTCATTGCCTCTCTCTACCCAGGAGTAATTGGGTACCCTGTGAGGGCAGAGATGGTCATTGTGGTTGACTTAGCTGTTTTGCGCTGAAAATGGCAGCGTCGATCTGTACACTCCCCAGGGAGCTGAGATGGTATTTGGAATGTTTCATGGGCCCGATGAGCAGGGGTAATAATAATGTAGGTAGTGTCTAGAACACTAGTCCCGTTGGACATGTGCACTTCACAAATTCCCACAATTGTTATTATTATTATTACATGTACACATTCTTGTAATTATTCAAAGTAAATGAAGTTTAGAGAAGTTTACAGGATGTTGGCATCTGTGATTGTCATGAAAATGCGATGACACTGCAAATGCTAATGTCAGTCACAAAATCCGGTGCCAAAAAGGTTATTCTATAAATTTAGAGTCCAATTTTTTCCCGTCCCTGTTACACCTGGAATATGCTTTTTTAGCATTTTTTAGAAGTCATTCTTTGATTTCCAAGACTGAATAAGTACTGCAAATTACTGGTACCTGCCAAACAAATGAAACTGATTTCAGTGCTAAACAGTATCCCTTGTCAAAGTACACGTACGAGTACACATATCAGGTACCGGTATAACTGGGACGGAAAAATGTCACCAAATTTAATAGAATGACCCCAGAAAGCCATTCATTTACCGTGCAGTGCACTCGTGACAATGGTACATTGAGGACTCAGGTACATGTACATGACTGCAATGGTTGGAAGAAAAGTTCACATGAACATGTACAAACAGTGATGAACTCTAATGTAGGAGTGTTGTAATACTGTGTACATGTAGATGTACATACTATATTTGTTCACGTTGTGAGCCCAATGACCAGGGTTACTAAATATGTACATGTAAATTGTGAAATTCTATACCTTGTCTTTGTCTGTTAACTGAAAATTTAAGAAAAAGATGAAGATTAAGAGAATACAGTATTTAAAAAAAGCAACCTTTATGACAGAAATATACTGTACAATCATCCAACAATTACTTGCAAGTGAATTTTCAAAGCAGCACAAAAGTTTGATCGCAAAGAAAAGAAATGTGACCCAACCGTACAAAATGAGTCATAACTCTAGCTGTGTGCCAAGGCTTTTAACAATAGGCCGATTTACGGATGAGGTCAATCTTTGTTTGTGCACTTTCCTATGGAGTGGGGGGGGAGGTGTCCACGGTCCACTGAGACCACAGGAAAGCAACCATAGTGTGGCATCATCGGCACAGAGGTCCAGAGAGTACCAGAGATGACTACATGTACATCACGTTCACAATTACATGTATGTGTGTAAAAGGCAATAGCGAGCGAACCAGCTAGTGAACCTACTCCATTCATTTACACTGCACTCCCTAGTTTATTTATTAACACCTGTTCAACTGACAGCGCATTTAGCGCCAATTACAGGATGATAACGAGTGAAGAAGACAATAAAGAAATGTTCAGTTTTAAAGGCGGGAGGAAAACCCCGGATGAATGTTTCGGGGGAAACCCATGGACTCTGGTAGGGACCTAAACCCAATCCACATGTGGACTGAGCCAGATTCGAACCCGGACCGCAGAGGTGGAAGGCGAGGAAAGAAACACTACGCAAGCCTGACAACCCTGGTCCAACGTGACGTCACACTTCGGTACTCTATTGTTCCACTGGGGATCAAATGTGCCTATCTGTTGATAAGATCTGTCATAGACACAAATAAATACCGGTGCATGTACATCTACGAAGTATGTTAGATTTTCTAATGTACATGTATAAAACAACTTGACGACTCATTTTGTAAGATCTGGTCACAGATAAGCTTCACATCTTATTATTATTTCGGCTGATTGAAGCAGAGGGCAGACATGACATTGATCATGGCAATGCATCAAGCAAAGCTGTTAGCACGTCAAAGTTATATGTACATGTGATGCTTTACAACTGCCATTTTAATTGGCAATGACCAAGCTTTGACAATAACCAAGTTTTTTTTCCCATGCTCCATGTATCTGTGCCTTACTTTCTCTGGCTTGTCAAACATGAGCTGGAACAATTTCATGGGCTGAGCCTGCAACGGAAAGACATTGATTAAACACAGAGGGGTTAGTCAATGCCAACAATCCAGTGGGACAGGTGTAATGTGTGCTTTGTCAAGGTCTGCAGGATTATTAACCCTTACCATCTTCAATCCTCCAAAATCCTCGGGGCAATTTTGGATGGTCTTGGAGGATTTTGGAGGATTGTGGCTGATACAAGATAGCAAAAGATGCATTGTGTCAAGGTCTAGGGTTAGACCTTATGTTGTTTATGCTCAGCCACAAATACAAGCCTAGATTATTCATGAAATCATCCATATTCCATGCTGAACCTGGGTATCATTCGCACTACCTCAACATAATGGCAGGATTTGCCAGAGGATTTTGAAACATTGAGGTGGGCACACCTTTGGGGAACATGCATGTACGGTAGGCATGCATGTACATGTATGCAAGAAGTATTGCAGGATGTTGGAGGATCGACGCTTTATCCAATTTTGTTTCTACGTGGGATCCAAAATTGGAAAATTTTGCAAAGGGCAAGGATGTAGCCTAGCAATTAAGTGCCAAACAGGTTTTAAGGGTAAAAATTTCAAGACAGACGTTAGCGTACACGATGTGCTGGGTTACTCTTTGCTGGCACTTTTGATGTCAAACAAACAGTACATGTATGCCACTTTCAAGAAATAGTCAACTTTTACTCTTACAAAAGAACATACTAGTCAACAAGCACATGTATGGTGTACATGTACATGTCATGATGTGTAGATACTGAACAAAATGTACAAATGTACCATTTTACAGTGGAATGTACAGTACAAGGCATGTGCATTTACACTCCATACTGGTTATGTTGGTAATGAGACCCGGGTGGGACCAAGAGAGGGCACCATTTTCCCAGCAACAGAGGCTCCTTTGGTATGAACTGCAATTCACTGGTACACAAAAGGCGATAAAATGCACGCTACATGTATGCAGTCGCATCACTACCAACCAAATGAACACGCCCCACCAACATGACTCCTTTCAACTGATGAGGGGTGCTTCTGCTTACTTTGTACATTTGTTATGCATGCAATTATGTACAATGTTATGTGAGCATGTCAGTGTACAATTGTGAGGCATTGCTCAGACATGTACATGTACAATGTATATCCACACAATTATGTGGTCCTAGTCACCATAAGTGCGAATAAATAATATAAATTAGGGCAATTTTAAACACAGTCCAGGCTACCAGCACTAATATCCCTCATTTTCAATGCATAATTATTGGCACTTTTTGATACAAAATTAATTATACGTTGGTAATTCCTCAATCAACAGATCTGAATGGGGCCCAATTTCAAATGGGGCTGCTTACTGTTGAGCAAATTTCTCTTTTGCTACGTGTAACTACAGCACAAAAATTTGCTTAACGGTAAGCATATTTTAAAGGCAAACATTTCACGGGCGCTAAGCACAAAAAATTCTTTGAGTGCGTACAGACATTTCCATTGTTACATCACTAAATTGAGCAAAGTTTTCCTCTGAGGTCAGCGTGCCTTTTGTAGTGATTACTGCTCACAGTCTCCATGAAATACAGGGAGCCTCTGACAGCGTGCATACACACAGTCGTATTGTGCTGTCAGGTCGGAGGTTTTTGGTTGATGTTGGAATACATGTACATTATAAATTATCAATTGCATCTGAAAGTTTCAATTAAAATTCCTTACAGAGAAATTTCTGCCATCTGAAGTGAAAAAACAAAGAAGAAATCCTGCAGTACCGCAGATGAAGAAACGGCAAGAGCTTACTGCTAATCTTTATAACCACCATCTAACACAAAGGCATACATGTACAAGCAAGTCTTCAAACTTACATTTTCCTCTTCTGGGATGGGTACACGTTGCTCAAAGTCGGGGTCCTCCTCCGGTACCGGACCTAAGCTCCTGCTAGGGTCGCCGCTCACTGCATTGATGCTGTTCATGTTGTCCAGCTGGCCGGACAAGCTGTCGTCTGAGTGGTTCTGCAGTAGGCCATACTCGGGTTGACCACCCACTGCAAGGATCATTTCACAGATCGTTAGTGCAAAAGCTGTACTCGGTGCTTACTTACATGTACATATGTATTACAGAAGGTCACAGTTGCTGAAGCACTACTTAACGGCTCAGATGGGCTATAAGAGTTGCATGCCTATTGAACTTTGTAGTGTTTTGACACTTGTTTACAATACGCACAGCAACAAACAAGGGTACATTGTGCATGTACAAAGACACTGTTATGAACAACAGGGCAATGTGGAATAACTGTTTGCAAAGTTGGGATTTGCCGTACATAAACACTATTAATCTTTATGAATTTGACATGCTGTTCATGTACATGTTAAGCTAGATGACTGATTCCTCTGTAACCTCACCACGTTTCTTTCCTTTTTTTTTTAATGGAGACCGTAAACGGGTGTACCCATGATCCTGGCTTACGAGACATCTTTCTTTCAGGGCTGAGCATAGAGATGGTGGTTGTGGTTCTGTCAGCCCCAAAATGACTGTAAAGCAGAGCTGGGCCCTGTTCTTTGCTTTAAGCAGAACTACACAGTACAGGTGAACTGGCGGGAGAGTGCCATTGTAGGGCGCAGTCATTTGATCGAGATGATTACTCGATCTCTGTCGATAATCTCAACTTCAGGCGATTGCCTTCTCTTTCTTATTTGGTTGTTGAAGTTCGTTGGGAAAAAAAATTACCGAAAGGCAGAGATTTCATACAGGATTGACAGACAGGTTCTCATCAATGTGTAATCACTAATGAGGTTTCCAATATCACCTTAACAGCGCTGCCATAATGGTTACTCAATACTCACTCAGTGTCAATTCCCGTGCTGAGCCCAGTTCCTCATTACCTTGTGAAGATGTAGCCTGTCCCATGGTGTCTTCCTGTTTGTGTACATCCACTGGTACTTCTTTGGCTTCATCAGCAGACATCTTACAAGGCTATAATCAATTCTCTAAGCAACAAACAAAAAGAAACCACCAAGCAATAGTGAGGCACTACATGTACATGTACAACAACCTTTGTCTCGCTGCTCATGCTACTAGTAGGCCTACATGTACATGTACCAGTAAGTACATGTACACGTACCGGCACATGTGCATGTATGTTTCCGAATAGCAAAATGTTAGTGGTCGTGCCAAAGCTGACCCAATTTTGGCAACAAATGGTTACTTGTACATGTAAGTACTTCTTTGCACAAGTTTCTGCATTAGTACTCCAGTAAGAAAATAAGTTCATGCTCAGTACACGTTAGCCAACAAAAGATTCAAACCAAAAGGTGCAGCTCAGCAGAGCGTCTCATGATTTACCAGTCTTGTGATGAACAGCTGCATGACTGCAGAGCAAAAGCTGCAATGTCACCAGCACCGAGCATCATTAGTGACTGCAATGAGTGTTCTCCATCCCACCTGCAGGACTTGCAGTAGGCTCCAAGTGCAATAATGTACATGTACATGAAACAGAAAGGAATGGATCATGCCAGATTGATGCAATGGCTTTCAAAAGATGAAACACGCAGTGCTCTCTACTTTTCTTGACTTTTCTTTCTAAGCCACAGCATGCACTTACCCATACATGCGCGCATATGAATATGAAGCCATTTAAGCGGCTTAAGGATTTTTTGTTAGTTGTCTAGCATGAGAGTTTCAGGCAATGTGAAAGATCACAGCAACCCGTCACCTGTGGTGGATCTTGTGAGTGCACCTGGAACCTCCCCCTACCCTCCCCATGTCCAAACCCATGTTTTTTGTGGATACCCTTTTTTTGGGTGGATACCCTTTTTAGTGATTTCTTCTTTCACTCTAAACTGGTTAATGAATAACTTCCACCCAGATAAGAATACATCCACCCGTGCATTTGGGTTTTACCTCCATTTGGGATGCCCCTCCCCTTTGTCTGGGCATGGCACAGATTTTTTTTCTCCCAGGAGGGGGGGCACAGCACTTGCCAGCAGCAAACAGAAATCATCTGTAACAGTTGAAGGGGTCGATTCTCAGGTACAGGGTACATGAATTTTTCAGACAAACTGGGTGAGTTTCATCCGCTTTCCTTGCATTTCTTTCGCCCTTCCTTTTCATTTTGTCCTGTTTCATTTTTGTTAATTGTTAATTTTTTTTTCTCAAAGAGGGACATTCCGGCCCCCCTCCCCCAAGCAACACCCATTTGTGAGCGCTGGATCACGCACCACTGGTAACAGTGCTTGAATAACACGGGCAGCATCAAAGGAAAAAACTGCAGTTTGGATGTCACGGCATACATCGTATCAACAATGCACTGGTACAGCAACAATAGTAACATGGCAAGAAGTTTTCCCAACTGTCAATGCATAAATGTGCAGCATGCAGTTAATCTAATATGAAGCATCCATGTACATACCTCATTATGAGGTCCCAGAAGCAGCTGCAAAATTTTGCAAAATGGATCGGAAGCAAAACAACTCTGTAACTGACATACAGTACTTCTCAGAATGCACAGGTACTTTAAACACCCTACACTGCATTTTTGGGTTTCAGCCCATTTCTGGCACAGTTTTAAATAAGGCAAAGAAATCTGTATGGACCACAGAAAGGAAAGAGTTCCATTTCCGGACATAACTTAACATCCTGAGCACAAAGCCTACATGAGACTGGTACGAAAAATTCTATGTGTTTTCTATTTTCTGAGCGAATGCTTCAATGCAGGTACTGTACATGTATTTTCCCAGCTACACGTAGCTTTGACTTTTTAAGACATGTTATCACTTTCTGATGGCTACTAAACGACAGTAAACAGTCACAGTCACAAAGAAATAAAACTAGTAATGTCATATCAGTAGACGTGCACATCAGTGTTGTAGTTGGGACTGTCACAAGACCAGTCACAAGACCAGTCACAAGACCAGTCACAAGTAACAGTGTGAACACTGACAAAGGAATGCTTTTGTTGCAGTTCATTTAAATAGCTTGTGACTTGCATTCAGACTGGAGGTCTTGTGCTGGTCTTGTGAAGGTCTTAAGTGGTCTCAACTACAACACTGGTGCACATCAGAACTCAGAAACAGAGAGACTGTCCTTCAATTCAGAGAAACTTGTCCCTTCATTTGGAGGCATATACTGGTTTCACACTACGCTTCTACCCAGGTATTCTTGGGGTTATTGAAAAAAATACTCCTGAGAATACCTGGGTAATTCAGAGTGTTCACACTGCCCTTCTCAGGGTTAGAAATTCTCCGGGTTAACTGCCTCGACAGTAATACCCCACTTATACCGGGTATATTTTAACCCTACTCGCGAGGTGGGTTAACCCACCAATCTCGGGGTTAATGGTGGCCTTGAGACAATTCTCCGGGTTACCTTCGGTAGTATGAACACTCGCCGGGTTTCCTTCAATGCAGGTTTTCTCATCGAAAAGATAGGACGGCGCATGCGCAACCAGTGCTGTCCTCAGCTCCACGGCCTCAGGCCTGGTGCTGCCGATGTCAACTGTGGCTGGTATCTCGTCGTATTTATACATGTATTTCCTATGGAGGACACCAGTCTAATTGACTAATAACTTGTCTTTTTGTAATACGAACACCATTACTATTTGCAAGGCACCAGTTGTGACCTCATGCTGCATGCATGACATGTCACGGGTACGTGTCCGTACTTGAATTGCATGCACATGCACGTTGGCTGGACAGTGTACATATTATTTGTTATTATTATTATTATCTCCGGGTTGCCCTGATTGAATTGTGAACACGGTTACAAATTACCCAGGTTTGCACAAAAGTGGGTACACTAAATACCCGGGTGAAGTTTGGAAGTGTGACAGCAATTCTCCAGGTAAGTTTATACCTGGGTAGGAACAAATACCCAAGTGAATAAATTACACAGGTAAAGCCTAACAAGTGTGAAACTGGCTATAACCAGTCCCCTAAAAGAGAGAGAATGTGTAATTAAAAGGGAACTTTTTCCGAATGGGCTTGGATCCAAACAATCCACAATTTATAACCGATTCCCCCCCCCCATATTTTCCATTATGTAAGTTACATGTAGTAACAATGCAAGTCATTTTTATGAACTTTAAACGATGTACATGTACATGTAACTCAATTCACTGCACGTACAGGATTGATATGTACCAGTATACAGAGAAATTGTTCCGAGGCGATCTTTTCCCCACCCTTTACGTATGTTCCACTGTAAACTCCTGCTTGTAATCCTAGTTGAATTGTTTTTAGTGGTAGCCGAGTGTTTTTTCTTCTACTAAATCCAATTATGGCATTAAAAGGACTCCCAGGGCAATAGTAGGATGGTGGAGACATTCTCTCTCTCAGGGGACTGAGTTTGTCCCTGAATAAAGGGACTTCTCTAAGTTTCAGGACATCCCCAAAAGATACATTTTAAGTGTGAAAGTGCCCAGTTTTTTTCAAAGTCAAATAAGGAATTCTGCATTGAAAAACAGCTTGTGTGCATGTAAAAAGAGCGCAAACAATCTCCATATGTACCAACTGTACAGGTTCTTTTACCCTTCGGAGTAATCAGTAGCGAATAATTACTGGTACGTCTGCATCAGTATCTCAAATTTGTCGCATTTCTCATACAACTTGAAGAGATTTTTAAGGGATGTTTAGAATTTCTAACATTAACATGATTAATTATGAATAACACAGTTCAGGCCTTACATGAGATGGTCATAACTCTTGGGGAATTAGAGCTCAGAAAGGAGACATTTTTACAGATTGCTTCAGACATAAAAAAGAGTGGGTTTACCAAGAGAATGAAATTTGTGCTACCTGCATATTTACATACATGAACCAGTACATGTACATGTACATTCCTTCTGCAAACACCAATTTAGGTACATGTACAGTATAAAGAAGAATGTTGCATTTAGGCTGGAGGTAAAAATTCTTTCAAAGTTATTCCTTGCCAGATTAATAAGTGTAAGGTGACGCAGTGCAAATACTCCCATCTTGTTCTATTCGCCCTTGCAATGGCTTATAATCCATCAGAAAGTGATAACATAGCCCCAAAAGTCAAATTTAGCAATGAAAATACTGAATCATTGGAAAGAGTTCCAAAGTTATACGAACAACACTTGATGCCTCTGTGCACAAACCTGAGACTTGTCCGAAAAAAATAAGCGTTTTCTCAGTACATGTACAAGTAAATGCTTTGGAATTTTCTTTGCTACATTTCGTTGTTTGAGACTAAGGATATCCCTTTCTGATGGCTGTTATAACATTTTAAGGAAAAATTGGTGTTGTCTATATGTGTAAATGGAACTCTTCCCAAATCATTTACTCAGAAAATACTTTGAATTTTTCAGACTAAGCCCACAAGCCTAACATATTATGTCAGAAGGGTAAGAAGGAATGGGCACAGGGTGTCAGCATGGTCAAGAGATGTCCGTACAGCCTTGCTCTATCATGTCTGTGGCACATGTACATGGAACTCTTTCCGAGTCAAACAACAGCAAGGACAGGATAATTATTATTATTAATCATTTCTGATAATGACATTAAGGACTCCTCAAAAGTGCCCTAGGCACTGTAGCTCGCTAGCCTGAAGAAACCTGTGGAGAGGAAACAATGAGAAATAGGTCTAGTTACAGTTTTAGAGGCGGGAGGAAAACCCAAGAGGGATATTCTGGGTAAAACCCACGGAATCAGGTAGGGACTGAAAACCTAATCTACGTGTGGATCGGGCTGGGATTCGAACCCGGACCACAGAAGTGGAAGGTGAAGAAAGAACCACTGCGCCAACCTGACTCCCCATTTTGGGAAGAGTTCCATATGCCATGTATACGGATGCCAGTGATTACTGCTTACACTTACATGCAGCCATCAGAAATCAAAACATGTCCAGAAAAGTTTAATTTCCGAGGGAAAATACCGAGTCGTTTAGGCTACTTAGAAAACATTCTTTTCAGAGTCATCTCAAAGGGTTAATGCACGTACTTTTAAGTAGTGTCTGTAAATGGAACTCTTTCCTAATTTGGGAAAATGAGCGAGCAATCTTATCGTGGGGTGGACAGTGTCCCCGAATTCACAATCCCCCTTATCTTTATAATGTAACAATGCAGGGCCTGTATGCTGGTATGGGACGCCCTCCCACATGGCATGTTACTTGGGGCATCATGTCCTTCCTCTGTGCTTGGGGACCCCTCAGTTTTTGTCATTATAAAACCCTCCTATGCAAAGACACATTCTTGGCACAGTCGTCCTACCAGTCAAAACCAGTCAAATTTCCCATATGTGTCTGCGTACTGGGGGAAATCAAGGAGAAGGAATTTTTGACTGTTTTTGACGGTAACAGCAAAAGGAGGGTTGTTAATTAATCTTGCAAAACTGGCAAGTCCCCCCGAAAACAAAAGCAACACTCTCTTCATTGCACTGACCCCATTTTGGGAAATTTCAAATAAAATAATAATAAAATAATAATATAATAATAATAAAAAAATAAAATGTGAGAAAATGTGACTTTCTTATTGATAAACTAGCCCAGCAATTTTAATCCATCATGTGTCATGTGTTGAAACACAGTGTCCCATCATAATTTCCTTCAAAACTCACACTCTGTCCTCTTTTCACATCAACCACACAGTTATTGATGATGTCACGGTCATTAACCAAGGAGAATTCATTAGTTAAAATGTAGCTCTCCAATCTATTATGATCATGGAACAGGGTCCCCAAATTTTCAATCCCCATTTAGATATTTATTCAATGACAATGAATGCACGAAAGGTTTTAACTCGATCAAAGTCGAGCCTATATCTTATAGGAAGAAAGAAACGCCCTCTAAACGCGACGTCATTTGCTGGGGGTCTATAGAGGAACCTATCCTACATGTCCTAGGCCTACTACCACTGTTGCCACTGGATAATTTTGGTTTTTTTTTAAGATAAGGATCTGAAATTTTTCAAGCCTAAGTAAATTTTAGTTCTACACAACCCTTTGTAAATGTAACAAAATATACGTGTACAAGTTGGTTTTTCTGTTCACGCAGAAATATTATGCAACATGCAATATAGTAAACTGGTGCCATTATTTTGCATGGACTGACACATATTACTGGACATGTATAACCTAGGTAGGTTTAAACGAATCATGATTTGGATACTATACGCATAGTTTTAATTACTAATCATAAGCTCGAGCTTGGAACAACACGTGAGTTATGTGCCTAGCCTATGCCTGCACACGGAGTGTAGAACTAGTTAGTACTAGCAACCGACTTCTTAGACATGTCGGACCTGTCCTCAGCATGCACGGGATTCGGATCAGATACCCCATACCCAGTCCGGAGTCCCACAAGTCAACATGCACACACAGTCAGTGCATGGACGTGGACAGTCACAATCATAACAGTCAAACTACCTGAAAAATATCTATATGCCTTACTTTTCTTTATGATGCAAGTGGTGACCTGTACTACAAGAGTTTCGCACAAAACGTCCTAGAAAGTACACATGGTACGGAGGTTAACGACAAACCAAAGTGACAGCGCTAGCGACAGAGGTAGGCCTATATTTCTAGACGTAGACGTACAGTGTACATGTACATCTATGCCCATAAATGCCGGTGTCGTAATATAAAATAATCACAGACGCAGACTACTTCGTCCATAATTCTAATACGAAAAGCTGTTTCTACCCAGACGTCTACAATCTGATGATTGACTTGAGACTGGAACTAGATCCTTCAAAGGTTCCAAAATGAATTAAGAATGTGTCATTTAGCTTATTTTTCTCGAGTAAGTATTTACTTGACTATTCATAAAAGGATGTCCTCTAGCTCTAATCATTTCTTTCACAAACTGTTCTCAAATCTGTCTTATTTAAAGCACATTACAAACTATTTAAGCATTAAGTAGGACAAAATACCAGTCTATTTTCAGAGTAACTGCATAGTTCCATAGAGTTGGATTCATTATATCCAACTCTATGCATAGTTCTGAATAGCGCCACCAAAGATAGTTGTACACACCGTCACCAAAGATTGTAAAGCGCCGTGCAACACAATCTTAGACTAAATAGCGCCGCTGCTTTGACTAGACTGTCACCAGTCACTGGATCACTGTATCAGGCCTATAGGTACTAGTGATCACTTGACTGTGATTTTTTGTCTTAATTACAAGGTTGAAGATGGCTTCTTCTGTACATACAATTACAGACGAAACTGGTAAGGTACACGTACATAGAATAGTGTAGGAATAATAAACCGGAAGAGTTGTGAAGGTTGTTGCTAGTTTTTCGGCAGTTTTGCCAATTTATCTGCAACCATTATTTCTGTTTTCCTTCCTCCATGATTGCATTAACCCTAACCCCCTAGGGTGTATGTAAAATCGTATGGAAACTTTACCGTGAAGGGTACAGACCAAAGATCGTGTAGCGCTGAAGGCGCAAGATGGATAACTCTGCCCTAAAGGTGTAATTACCACAGGCGCCATTTGAGCAAGCGATACGCCTGCTCGATGTACGGCAAGGCGCAGGTGCACCAGGTGTATGTGCCTGCCGCGTCGCCCGCGCCTGTGCATTAATCGTGTGCACTGCGCAGGCGCATCACGGTGAAGTTCTCCATCTTGCGCCGCTACACGACGCTCTGCAATCTTTGGTACAGACTAAATTCATGAGTCCATTGAAAACTGTGTAAAATCAGCACTGTTCAGGGCCCATAACATGCATACCAACATCCCTGAGATTTCTGAAACAAATTTAATTATTGTCTAGTCCCTAATCTTTCAATTTCTTTTCAATATTTTGTGGGTTAACCAATTACATTTTTCATTGTTCCCGCAAAAGAAAATCACCCCCCCAAAAAAGTGATTTTTCAGAAGTCGGCCATTTTTCAAGTAGCTACCTTCTAATCTTACTTTGGACCATTTTTCAACTGTATTTTTCAGCCATTCTGCTCTCATATGAGAGCTCAAAGACCCAGGGCATGCAGTGAGTTGATCCTGGCAATGATTCTCACAATCTCACCCTTTTCGGGGGCCAAAAAATTTCCTTTTTCAAAAGATACTGTGGGCATGGTGGGGGCACTTTTAGTTTTAATGGTAATGAGCTGGCCAGAAATTCTCACTTGAATTAGTAGTCTAGGGCCTAGAGACGTACACCCTAAAGTTAAATTTTTCCTTGAATCGAAAGCCAACAACAACTTGCACGTAGGGCCCATGTCATGATGCAGAATTTGCATACGATGTTAGGGAAGAATTCCATATGATGTGGACGTCACTTACCCCCAGAACTGTGGGGTCCGTCCGCTCCCACAAACGTTCATGGGAGCGGGGCGAACGTCGGAAACCACAGTGCTGGGGGTAGCCTGCGGTAGCCTGCACCTGTGAGCCATATCTGCAAGCTACTCCCAAAACTCAACTGTGAGGCGCTACTCCGTACATATCCCTGTGCCATAAGCCTTATTGCTTATACTGCATGAGTGATTTTGCACAATGATAGAAAGGCATTGTGGAAAGGACAAAGGAGCAAACGTTGCCCTTTTCCTTCCCACAGTGCATTTCTACCATTGTGCAAATCACTCATGCAATATCAGCAATATGGCTTATGCGTGGAGGAAGGACGTGCGTTGCAGTTCCTTACTTTTAATGGGTTCGTAACGCTATGGGGCTTTGAATGCAGCCCAGTAATGACCCTCCATTGTGTGTCCGTTTCTTCTTGAAAATGCATTTTCTCAATCAAGTCTTCCCCCCAAAAGCCATCAAAACTAAATCATATAGCTTCAAAATGCATGTGTGATGATTTTTGGAGCGTGTAACTAGCTATTATTGCCAAATTCCAGACCTTTTTACTTACAATCCTGCCTCTCTTCACAAACCGATCTGCAAACTGTCAGGACTGGTGGTTTATTACACAAAAGACTGGTTCCCTTCTCATCCCAGTCCTCGGAACGTATATAATAGGGACTGCAACTGATCCAATTATGCAATACCTCAATTGACAGCTTTTTGGGTGGAAGATTTGATTGAGAAAGGGCAGTCATTACTGGGCCACATTCAAAATCCCATAGCATTACAGATCCACTTAAAGTAGTGCTTCACGGGTCTGGGAGTATCTGAAAGCAAGAAAATCACCTAAAAAGTCAAATTTAACATCGTTGAAAAGATGCGTGGTGTCCGAACATGGAATTCTTTCCGAATGTTGCATCCCGATGTCAATTTGTTTCTCTCCATTGAATATTGCAGTGGAGGGCTGCCAGTTTACTGTAGTAAAAAAAAAAAATGAGTCGTAGCCTAAAAAATATTTCCAAAGTTTTGGAATATTTTTTCTTGAAACGGCAGTGGATATTGCCCTCCTGATATGTTTTAATTTTGCACTGTGACTGGCACAGCAACTGAACTTGCAAGTGTTTTGGGAAATAACCACAGCAAAGCTTTGTCTGGTTCTACGCTTTATTTTTTTTGTGGTGGTAGGCGCACATACAAGATGGAGTTTGGACCCAGATCAGTTTTGAACTTGATATCGCTGTAAAAAATTCCTCAGTGCCACGAATCACAAAAACCGTGAAATATCTTGAAATTTGTTGTAGGACTCAAAAACAACAAAAGGATTCGTCAAGGGATTTTGGGGGGGGAGGGACCTGAATTAGTGGGGGGAAAAATAAAGAGAAAAATCGAAACAACAAAGGGCCTATTTGTTTCAGGCAAGTCTGGATTGCGATCAGTGCTCCGACGTTGGTTCACTGACACCAGAACCTGCGTAATGGATAGCGCAAACCAGCTTTGGGATCACTGAATGAGATCCAAGTCTGTGTGACACAAACAGGCTTGAAGATGGATGAACTATGGATTCAAATCAGAAATCAAAACATAATTTCATTGCGGTATTTGGGATTTGTACAGTATACTTTGTGTAATATTGGGTGAGGCACATACTGAGTAACTCTGATGTGCGGTTTACTGTGGCAGGTACATACATACCAGCTTCACAGAGGCCTGACGGGACATGGCGTAAGGCGAGGCGTGTCAAAGAGGGCTATGTCCCCCAGGAAGAAGTACCAGTGTAAGTTTATGCAAAAGCTCACTCATACTCCCCCCCTCCCTTTTGTTGGCAGTGACGTGACTGTAACGCATGTATTTCATAGTTCTTTATGAACCAGCAAAGTCCAGTTCCTTCCAAAGGAGCCTGCATCGCTAGGAAAATTGCACTCTTGGTGCAGCTCGGGCTCATGACAATGCAGAACCTTGAGCTCCGGTTGTGGTTTGTGTGTTAGTACTTTGTAATTACCCGTTATGTGGCCAGCTTCTTCCACCTTTCTTCCTTTAAGTGAAAGTGGGAGGCCACATATATAAATAAAGTTGACCCTTATAACTTTCGTCTGTCAGGTTTGAGAGCAGAGGGAGAAAATGGTTGAACAGCCGGCCAACGATGCCCCCCGGGATGCACCATGACCCCGATCCACCGCCAGAAGCTAAACCAGAACCGGAGACCAGGAGCATGTCCAAGTCGGCCAAAAAGAAGGAGAAACGGAAGCAGAAGAAGCAAGAGCGGGCTGCTGACGACAGCGGACGCTCCGTCCATGAACCACCGGACGACATCAGCCAAAAACTGGCAGACGTGAGCCTCTCACCAGCGCTCACTGCGGGTGACACGGACGCGGCCACACAAAGGACTGGGAGGGCGCCCTCGGCTCCTCCAGACAAGCGGGCCAAGACGTTACGCAAGAAGCTGCGTCAGATGGAGGAGCTGCAGGCCAAGATTGACTCGGGCGAGTTGGCATCGCCCAGCAAGGACCAGCTGGAGAAACTGGCCAGACGGGCGGAAGTAGAGGAAGAACTCGAGAAACTCATCGCCGAGTTTGGGGTCTAGACACTGGTCATATCCTTGCTCGATCATTTCACAACACTTTTCTTATTGGGACAAAATGAAAGCAAATAGACGGAACATACTGCAAATTCTGCACACGTGAACATGCCAACTCCTTGTCAAATCAAACACCAGATGCAACGGTGGGCTTGAGTGCACCTGTGCTCCGTGGACTTGTATAGAAATGGGATAGTGAGTTTAGTGATCGCAAGTGATTTGGGTGCATTTGCGGAGCAAACTCTTAAAACTAATGTGTAATCTGCGCCTCCAAAATACATGTACCGACAGGAAAGACAATATTTGTACAGTGTTTATCCTTACATTAGAACTTTGTGGTTATCAACGAAATCTCTCCGTCAGTTTCATCTCTTACTGGCATTATTCAAAGAATCCATTGTCTGTTGTCGGAAAGTACATGTAGAATGAGTGGTCACTCATGTTATTGTTGTCGCTTTGTAGCCCTGAGGCCCCACAATCTCCGCATTCCATCTTTTATCAATTGACAGATGTTCATCAAAAATGATAATATTTGGGACGTGGTCAGCAGGTCCCGAGGGTGGCTTTCCCAGTGCACCCTCCCCCAGTTTTGTGTTGACGTATGTGTACGTATGTTCCAGTTAGAGGAACCCACTCGTTGAAAATGCCAGATGACCCCCTCCCTTTTTTTAAAAAAAAGTCTGGATGGGGGATACCAACTTTGCCATCTGTCATGAACTGTAGATGTTGAGCATGATGGCTTGACGTGTGCGATTATTCAATCTTCATGTAATCTGTCGATCTTACTACAATATTTGCGTAATCATTCCGCCTTCTGCCAATTGCCTTTTCTCTCTGTTAAAGTTGTGCAAGATTGTTTTGAAAAAAAGTGAAGTCAGAGATTTCACACAGGATCAACTGACGGCGCAGTGGGATCGTGTGATAGTGCTAATCATTTGATCGTACCCAACGTACAAAAAAATGCAGAGAAAGCAAAGAAAATTCAGCCAAAATGGCAACTCGTATTGAAAGGTCACGCAAAACAAAGCTGCGCACGAACAAAAACCAAAAACTCGGAGATTCACGCTGTTCACATCTGTAACGTCCCAATATTTATTGCACTCCAATTTACAATCCCACTTCACAACAAAAGAAATCTCATCAAATGATTGAAGTGTAGCATACGCAAAAATTCAGCAGAGAGTTGTACAGTCAGATATCAATTATCAATACAGATTTAACACAAGCTTACACCGGTATGTAACCAAGATATGTCTGCAAGGATTACCTTCAAGAGACATTAAAAAATTTCTTTCCATCCAATGGCAGGTTCTATACATGAACATAAACAAAAAATAATTATTAAAGGATTAATATTCCCCCCCTTCCACCAATAACCTCAGAAATTGGTTTTTGCGATGGGTAGTCTTTATTTGGAAGCTGTCCAATCAATGACCTTTCCTTTTCCACAAGGCGAATGTATTACATTTTCACAATGACATTTGACCTACTAGGTTCAGCATGAGGTAATCACAAGGTGTCCAGGCTGAAAGTCACAAGTTATTCAAATGAATTACGACGCGCAACTCTCTGTGGTTGTTCATCTCAGGTTAGTGATTTGGCCTGCAATGGTAGCTTTCCAACTTGACATAAACACGAATGTGAAATTGTGACATAATTTAAAATGTTACTGCTGTAAATTCCTAGGAGTTGAGCAAATTCAAACCGGAGACTTTGAGACGCTGGTGGCATCAGACATACTGGTCTTTTTTTCACGGTCTTGTGTGTGCTCGGAACTGCGCGCACGCTCGGTGCTGGTAAAAATGGCCAGTATGGTCGGGCCACCAAGTGTCTCAAAGTCTTCCACTGGTAATGCAAATTTCACTGCAAATATTTCGCGAGGTCAAATTTATTGGTGGTTTTGCAACTGGCCGAAGTATGGACCTGCCTTTATGCAAATCGCGGCAAACTCACGACCTGTTAATTAATGAGTGAATTTGATACAAAAGTGTCTGCAATACAGGTTTATACCTTCCACATCAAAACACAGAAGAGGCAAGCTATTGTGATGAGAATCTTTACTGTGGAGAATTCAAAGTTACATAAAGTATGCAGAAATAATTGAACAAGTTCAATCTATTACCACTTTCTGCTGCTCAGATGGCTTAGTGAACTAAGTCTAGGAATGATAATGTAATCCGTAGCATTATTTATAGTACCAAAGGTTTGACCTCTATACAAGCAACAGACGACGTGTACTGTCGCACCTTTTATCCTCACGTGTCTGAAAAATGAACAAATGGAGGAAAATCAAGGACAATCAAACCCACGGTTGACGATAAGACAAGGTTGAAGATACAAGATAATGTTACAGAGCAATAGATGACAACAAACCTTTCAGCGCATACTCCAAGGCGCTCGATATCGTGAGCATGTCGACTTCGATGCTTTTTGCCCAGTTCTCGACATCGCCAAGTTCCTGTTGGAACATAGAAAATACCTGTAACTACAATCCTGGCCACATTGTTGGGGAACGTGTCGATGGCCATATCCTTTCCAGGTCCCCCAACTGCCCCGTCAATATCGTCATCTGGAGCTGGAGTGCCGACTGCGCACTGAGACCCAACATTGAGAGGGGGGACCAGGGGTGGGGGCCCCAACAAGATTTGGCCAGAATTGTCACTTTGACACTGCAGAAAAGTCTTATTTCTGCGGCCGTGAATGGGTGGGCAGAGGTGAATGGGCTGGATCAATCATGAATGTAGGTGAGTGGGAGGTGGGACAGGTGAATGGGTGGGATCATAATGAATGAGCAGAGGGATACTGGGACACTGATAATAATTCGTCGTGTGCCTGGCGAAAGGTCGTAAGCGCGCTTACGCTCTTTTGCCCTGAAGCATGGTCACAGTAGAAAAAATGTTCCCGGTAAAAGCGCATTAGAAACACACTCTCTTAATTTAGTAAAAACAGACAAAATTTACTATAAAATCAACACGTGCTGTACAAAAAGCAACCTTTGAACAACTTACCAAACGACTTCGGAAATTTTTGGTAACTATTTGCAAAGAAATCTTTACATTTCATTAAAATAAAAGAGTTGCACACATACGTCCTTTTGCTGGAAATTTTTTTTGCATCTATTATGCTTCCCAGCAAAATGTCGTAAGTGCTTACGACCTTCCGGGTACCCGACGAATTGTGGATGCGCAGAGTTATGCTAGGATACTAGGGGATGGGTGAGAAAACATCAGATGAGAACAGTGATGCTTGGGCCCTGGTGGACGGGTGGTGCAGTGGTTGATAAGTGGGATGATAATGGAAGAGAGAGATGCTGGAATGCTAGTGCATGGGTGAAACAGTGATGGATGGTTAGGGTGTTGCTGACAGACTGGTGAGTGGGTAGGATAAAAACGCCCTTAGAACTGGCATGTACAAAGCAGGCAATGTACACAAGTTGGGCAATGTTGGATACATGTACACATTGGTCTGAAGCAGGGTTGGCGAACTTTTTAATTTTTTTTTTTAATCCAATTTTTTATACAAGTATAAATCAGGTTTTTAAATTCTTTTATAATAATCTGAGACAACTTGGCTCAAATACACATAGCTACTTAAAAGTAACCAAATAAGCTGTACACTGTATGTGTAAATGTACCGTATTAATTTTTTTAAAAATTTGCTGTTTAAAATGTGGAAAACCTGCAAAAATTACCAAGAATAAGATTTAAAAATTGAAACATTTTTGCCTTTTCCCCCCCCCATTCAATATGTTGATTTAAATTAGCAATTTTTTAAAAATTCATTTGATTTAAATTGTGATTTAAATTGGTGATTTAAATCAAGGTGATTCAAATCAGCCAACCCTGGTCTGAAGGGATGGATCGACATGATCAATGTATGGTGTTTGATGGGCCGGGCAGTGGGGAATGTTTGAAAAGCAATGAATGAGAAACAGCAGTGGATGGGTAAAAGGGTGCA